AAGGAGAAATTATTAAAAATTGTTTTAAATCTTTATAAAAAATTAATTTTTATTAAATAATAATAATAATTTTTTTCGTATTATATGAATTAAACTTATGAAATTTAGAAAAACAGGACATAAAGATAGAAAAAATAAAGACAGAGCTTCATTCTATAAGACTTATTTAATTTAAAATATAGTGTCTTGCCCCTGTACAGAATACTTTTCCTGACAACAATAGAGTGATGTTGGTCATCTATGTAACTCAGTTCGGGGGAAATGTTTCAATTATAACCACGTAACTTCCGTTCTAGACCGGAGGTTCATATATAGGGTCCTACAGCACCTACGCTTTCCCTGTCTGGTCTCAAATTTCATCTTTCTTGATATTAAGGAAGGACAGACAGACAGACAGACGAATGACATAGGTCTACAATTGTAGGCCGAAATATGATTTAAAGTTTCAGCCCGACGTTCTGACGATGTCACAATAAAAGTAATTATTTTAAAATAAGTAACATTTAATAAGTTTCGTATTTTAAAAGAGGTGTTTTTTTAACCATAAAACTGATGTATTTTATGAATTTTCTACCATAAATTAAAAAAATCAGGTCAATAAAATAAGTGTGTAAAACAACTTTCTTAGTAATAAAATGAGTTAAGAACATAAAATTTAAATGTAAGTAAAGAAAATCTTTTACGATCTTTTTGGTATCATGTTTTACTAATTATGGTAAGTGGGATTCTCGTTTATTTTTAGTTCTATTTTAAACGTTATACTCATCGATTCTCAATGATTTCTCTTCATTTTCTTATTGTTCTTATTCATTATTAATGTCTCATCCCTAATGAGAAATGGATTTTTAAATTTAAATTTAATTTAATAAAAATCCAGTTTTTTTTATTCATTAAATTTTATCAGTTTTTTAGCAGATTTTTTCTGAATGTAGAACTTTAGGACAACTGGTAACACAAATTCTGATGTTATACAGATTCAAAGGGAACAAAATGGCGAAAATAAATAAACATCATAAGTCGCGTAACGTCCTCGTAAAGTAAAACTCTTTAAACAATATAAAAGTTTGGCCTGTACATTAGTTAACTGACTTTTACTTTAGTATATATATATATATATAATTACTTCGTACTTTTTTGTTAATATATATCAATGCTGCATAGATTGGAGTTACTGAAATTTTTTTGTAAATTGAATAATGGTAATATTTTATTTTAAATGAATAACTCAATTTTATCTTTTTCATTAACATCTGCATACTCAATGACGAAAATAGTTACGCACCAAACAGGCGTTGGAATGAAATGAATGTTTATTATTGCAAACGTAGACAATGTTAATAATTAAGTAGGGATTACATCGTCATAGAAAAACGCTAATTTAATTTCGTATGAAAAAATCGGTAAAATATAAAGCAACTTATACTATATTGTAGAACTTCTTGTTGCCTGGATACATAGCAATATAGTATAGTATGGCGTTGTATCCTGCAACAAATTCCTCCAATAATGTTGCAAATTTTGCTCCAGATCCCTTACACTCGTAGTAGGTCAAAGCTGACGTCCCTCTAATCCTACAAATGCCCGATAGGTGTCAAATCTATAGACTTAATAGGCAAAGCAAGTATGGCAAGAGAGACATTCCTAACCGTGTTCGGCCAAGCATTATCTTGCTGAAAAATGGCTACTTGGATTCTCCTATGAAAGGACACAAGATTTCTTGATCGTACTGCTGCGTCATCAATGTTTTTCATACTACTACTAAAGTGAGCTACTGTCATACGAAATGGCTTCCCAGACCAGCACGCTGGAAGTGAGGACAATATGTCGCTCAATAGTAAAAGTGAGATTGAAGTGTTTCACGGTGATTCCGTAGCGGTTCATTTTCTATTTCATGGCACCACTGCAAATGATGCTGACGATGTTTAAGTGCTGATGGTAGAATGCGTAGCGGTCGTCATGCTTGCAAACTTCCCTATGCTATACCTATCAATGGTATGGAAAATATTCTGTAAAGAGACTTCCATTTGTCTCTTCATGGTTAGAAGAGACACAATTGCAGATGTTCCTGCTTGTCTTACAATTAGAGGTCTGTCTTGTGTGCTCAGAGCCTGTGTATGTGTGACTTGGCGTATCAACTTTTCTCAACACCTCGTAACAGTCGAGTCAGAATAATCCAGATGCTGGGAAATTTGATGAAACGGACATCCTTCCTCCCTCAGTCCAATGATGAGGTCTTTGTCAAACTTCATCAGCTATGATTACACGTCACTTTGTCTTTGACTGCATCAACAAGGCTGGAGTGCCAAAGAACACGTTTACATTGAGTTTCTACGATCTTTTTTATAGAATATTGGAGTAGTTATTTTAAGGTACTCTAATGACATTTCCTGGAGTATAATTGGATCACAACTGTAATAATTTACATACCTGTTTGAGATGTAGTTGTAATGCTAAGTTTTTCAAAAATCGGTTAATTATATCTGGGTGCATAACGTCTTTGTCAATGAGTATATCATTGTTGATTTAAAAACTATATTGAATTTGATTTTAAATTATTTTATTAACTAATAATTTTTTCAGTTCAAATTTGTAGATGTATATGAGGGCAGAGTTTAATAAAGCTTATATTCACATCGACGATTCTTAATGTGATAAAGTAACAGCGTGTCATACTGTCATGGGATCACGAGTGACACCACTTGGGATGTCACAAATCCTACGAGGAATTCTGTAATATTTGAACATGATACGAGTGGATTTTCTTTCTAATATTAAATATTTCTTTTTTATTTTTATAATGTAATGATAAGAACATTTTATATCATGAGTTAATCTTTATATATAAGAACTGATTAATTTTCTTATTTGCACATGTTTAATAAATCACATAAGAAATCTTTTTTAAACTCTACATATATTTAACTCCATTTTAGTTGAAGTAATTTAATACGCAACTGAAATTCCAATTACTTTTATGATGCAGATAAATCAATAATCCTTCATGTTATTTTCGGCTTCTTATCGCTTTAGTTTTCTTTGTGCAAAGAGGTTATACAATTCTTACAAAGAATAACCGTCTAAACCTTTATTCAAATTTGAAGTTGCAAATCATGTCTTTTGCGAGAATACTTATGATCAGCTGTATTCAACTAGTATTAATAAATTTAGTTTAATTTTTTGCATAAAATTTGTTATAAATTCTTATCGTTACTTCACTTTATAAAACAACGAATTTTGTTGCAATAGATTTAAAATAATGTGTCTCAATTTTCACTAATTGCAAAATGTTTGAATAATCTCATAAAAGATAGTTTTTGTTTTATTGTAGCAGTAGTTATTGTAGTAAAATTTAATGAAGTTTATCATGCAATCTCTTCAAATTATTCAGCTAGATCGAATAACATTCACATCATGAAATCCATCTTTTGTCGTGGCATAATATATATAATTATAAAAAAGGGTGTTGTTGTCATTTACAATGTTAAAGTTTCTTACTCTTGTAAACCATATTTTGGCATTGTAAACCATAATTCAAAATACAAACTTTATGATAAACTTTTACATTTGTAAGAAAGTTTGATATTGTAGTTTACAATATCAAACTTTACAAGAAGAAGACATTTTAGCATTGTAGTTTACAATACCATTAAATACTACAATAACTCCCATATCTCTTGCCTTAATCTAATATAAAGAATAGAAAAGTAATGCAGTATCTCGACTTTCAAGCTTAAGGAAAAATGTTTTTTTTCAAATCTTTCCTTTTTAAAACATTTTTTTAAATTTTAAGTAAAGTCCGACATTTATTCATTTTTATTAAATACAGCTTTAACTTATTAAATAAATGTTTAAAATAATTTAATAAACATTTAATTAATATTTTCTATCTTTGATGAAGATATATTGACGTCAATAGAATGAATAGGAAATTGTTATTATTAGTTGAATTTGAATTCTCACATCTTTTTTATGGATTTAATTAATTAATTTTTTTAAACATATAATGAAGTGATTTGTTTGATAAATATTTTATATAATGGAAACTTTTATTTATCTGACAGTTTTTCCATTTCGTCGTTTATCACATTTTTTCCAATTAATTTGTCTTCATTTATTTTCAATTCCTTTTTTATTGAATAATTTTCATTTATAATTTCAATTTTTTTTCATAGTTTCAGTAAAAAACACTTAATAATTTTTATCGATAATTATTTAAGTTAATAAGAATCTTACATAAATATTATTATATAAAATATATTTACTAGAATTTTATATTATATTGAGTCAGTTATTGTCTAAGAGAATATTTTTAATTAATTATAATATTTTAATTAGAGATAAAATTTCAACACGCTGTAACAAAACTTTTTACCTTTAACAAATGACTGAGAATATTATACATTTATTGTATTCAAATTAGATTATGTCGCATACAATTACACAGAATAATGGTTTAAATGTCACGGGATTGTATATTCGAAAGTTAACTTGTAAAGCTCTAATTATATTTAAATGGCAGAGGAAGGAAATTTATATAAATCATAGACTTACTCAAATATATCATTTTTCTGATTATAATAAATTCGGATATTTCTCTTTGTAATAATATACTTGTGTTAATTTAAATAAATATATTAATACATTTATGTATAGGAGCCTCTATATGTATATACAATATTTAATCTGTGTTTGATTAAATAAAAATCTTATTTAATTATTAATTTCATAAAAGAAGTTCATTTATTTCCCACTTTTATAATGTTAAATTATGTTTAAAATTAATAAATGGCTGGAAGAAGTGAAAAATAAATATGTTAAATGATACCTTAATACATTATAAATAATTCATTTGGTATACATTAATTATAATTAATTATTATCGTAGACTTAAACAGTATAAAATTATATACAAAGTTCTTAAAAAATAAAAACACGTTAAATATTTTATCAAAGTTACTTTATTTTCAACGGGATAATAATAAATAATGATTAATTTTCAGGTGCTTGGAATATTGTTTGGATGTAGGAAATATAAATCTGTCTGCAATTAGAACTATCAGAGTTTTACGGCCTCTAAGAGCTATAAATCGTATTCCTAGTAAGTAAAGAAAGCTATAGTGATGGCTTCTAAATTAATTACTGTACAGATATATCAATACTTATGGGTGTATTTCTATTTTCAGGTATGAGAATTCTTGTTATGCTACTGCTAGATACACTTCCTATGTTAGGTAATGTTCTTCTTCTATGTTTTTTTGTCTTCTTCATATTTGGCATCGTAGGAGTTCAATTATGGGCAGGACTTCTGCGTCAGAGGTGCTATTTAGAGCTTCCACCAAATGTGTCATATCTAGGGTAAGATTTATATTAAGAAGTGTAAAAATGATCATAAATAATGAGTTATATATATAAACTTACACAATACATGTTTATGTACAGAGTTAGGTAGAAGGGAACTAGCAGGGACGTTTTTTCCAGATCCTAAACATAGAGAAACCTGAAGATTTAGTATTTTATTGCAAATACAACAGGAAAATGCTATAAATTAATAGTGGAATCTCGTTATAACAAACCTCGTAATAAAGAACTTTTAGATTTTTCCCGATCCAACTGTCATAGGAACACGTGACAAAATCTTGCAATTGTACGAACGTCTAATCTATAACGAAATTTCAGTATAACATTCTTTTTCTACCAGTTTCATGGTAATAGAATTTCTGCAATTTTCACTTCACTTTAACGACCACGTTGTAAGTTCTTTTCCCCCTTCCAGCTATTGTCTTCCAACTTGTAAACAACTGTACTCATGGGAGAGGGGAAGGCTTGGAAGTAACTAATGAGTTGCAACTAACGAATTGCAACTCGTTAGTTGCTAACCTCAACAAGACCCACAAGTTGTCATAGACAGTGTAAGGATGGCTGTTTATGCCTCTTTTAATTTTATTATTTATGTTGTTCTTTATTTAAGGAGCGCGGGCAAGAAAAGCATCGAGGAGATCGACAGTGCAATGTAAACCCACAGGAGAGCTCCTCTCCCGCGATTTCACACGAATATAGTAGCTTGATAACACAGGCTACTTTCTTGTATAGTACAGATACAGTCTTGGATCTGTGTAATATTTGATATAAACACATTAATTTAAGATATGACTTTTCAACAAGGTAAAGCCAAAAGAAAACAATACACGTTAAAAGAAAAAGTTCAGATTATTAAGGCAGTTGAAAGTGGAAGAAGACGAGTTGAGGTGGCAAAGAATTTTCTCATGACAAAATCTACATTAGCTACAATTCTTAAAAACAAAGATAAAATACTGGCATCCCAGCAGCCGGCTCTGGAACCAAAAAAGAAAAGACTTCGAATGGGAAATTTTGAAAAGATTGATGCTGCTGTTTTGACTTGGTTGAAGGAAGTAAGATTTCTAAATGTTCCAGTTAATGGCCCGTTGCTTCAACAGAAGGCGCGGGAATTTGCTGAAGCGTTGAACATTGAGAACTTCTCAGCCAGCAATGGATGGCTTTTCAGATTCAGGAACAGATACGGAATAGTGTGGAAGAGAGTGTGTAAAGAAGGAACTAGTGCCAGCCCAGAAACTACACAGAATAGTAGATTGAAACAAAACAAGAAGTGTTTTCTAAATTCTCTCCTGAAAATATCTTTAATGCAGAAGAGATTAGGTTGTTTTACCAATTACTCCCTGATAAAACTATGGCAATTAAAAGGGAAGCTTACGTTGTTGGCAAGCATTCAAAGTTCCATCTGTCTGTTTTGTTATGCTGCAACAGCACAGGAATAAAGAAATTGAAACCTCTAGTAATTGGAAAGTACAGTTGTCCACGATACTTTCTCAGTTCTGATTGTGGACATAATAGAATGGCACGATACTCTTGCCATTCTATTATGTCCACAATCAGAAGGCACGGATGACAAAAGAAATATTTTCTGAATGGCTTACCACACTTAACAAAGACATGAAAAAAGAAAACCGAAACATTCTTCTTTTAAATGACAACTGTACGTCACATATGATCAATGTTCGCCTAACCAACATTACTGTGAACTGTAATCCCTTAATCCAGCCATTGAATCAAGGAATCATAAGAAATTTCAGAGTGATTTACAGGAAAAGGCTACTCCAACACATTCTCAGGTTAGAAATAAATGAGCCAGTCAAAATCCGGCAAGCTATCGACATGATAGCAGGAGCGTGTTGGGACGTAAAACCCGATGCTATTCGCCATTGCTGGGAAAAAAATCATTTGAAAATCAGCAAAAGAAGAAGAAGTAAGTGGCAATGAAATCAAGTGCATGGAGGAAATTGAAGATTGGCTTTGGCAAGAAACCTGTAATACACTGAATGTGAATGAAGAGATTTCCTTTGATGATTATGTGAACTGTGATAATGTAATCACATCACCAGAATCGTCAATTTAGAAAATTCTTGATTCTGTTGAAGGCACGAGTCAAGGTACAGAAAACGAAAAAACTGAAACTGCATGGAAAGAAGAGTCAGTCACGCTGAAAGAAGCACTGGAAAGTCTCGACAAAATTGAAAAAAATATGTGTATTCACATAACAAAGGAGATGTTAATGTCTGTGTTAGACTAGATGAGATAGAGAAGTTTCTGCAGCATGCAGCTTTCAAGACATGTAAAACTCAAACAAAAATTTTATCTATTACCAACATCTAAACCTGTTATCATTTTTTAAATTTGTAATTTAGTTGTGTTCGTTATGTATAACTCTAATAAATGCCTCATTAACAAGCTAACTCTAATAAATGCCTCTTTGTTTCATATGTGGACTTTATATTTGATTATTTAACAACAAATTTTTAGTTTAACAAAGATTTATGGGGCCTTCTGAAATTCATTATAACGAGACTCTAATGTATTTGTTTCGATATAAGAAGAAACAGTCTTTTATATATATTAGTTATAGATTAATATGGTTTACGAGAGAGTTGGAGTCCCCAGATTACCTTTGCATACCACTTTTGTGGTAATGGTGTAATGTAACTTTCAACCAAAGGTTACATTAAAAAAGTCAAATTAATTTTTTCAACTTAATTCAGTTAATTCTTGATTACTTGAAATTTTATTAGAANATAATATTTAAAAAGTAATAATAATATTTCAAAACATCTTACGAATGTTGTTAATTATACCAAATATTTTCAGTAAATTAAAATTTTCTATAAAAATTGCTGAATTGTTAATTAAGAAAACAATGATAAATTCCTGAAATTTTAGAGTTGAAATAAAATTTTAAATTATTTAAAATAAAATAAATATTTTCTTAAAATTAAAATTAAATTTTTTTTTAATTTTAGCAATATACCTTCATTCTATAAATTAGATGATGATGAAGAACTCGAATATATATGTAGCTTGGATAAAGATGGGGGAATGCATCGCTGTGCCAACCTTCCTGCCTATGAGCAAAATAATATTGTATGTAATGGTTCGGCTGTTCCCTCCAGCAATAACATACCCCAAAATGGCACATGTGTCAATTGGAATCAGTATTATACATTATGTAGAGCAGGTGATCGAAATCCGTTTCAGGGAGCCATATCATTTGATAACATAGGATTAGCATGGGTAGCTATATTTTTAGTAAGTATTTATATGTATTTATAAGAATTTTATTTAATTATATTTATTCGTTTAAAATAATTTTTAAAGCTACTAAATATTAAAAACGGGTGTGCAATTATATTTAATCATACAATTTTTAATCATATTTTAAAATTTATTTCATTTAAAATATATGTTCTCCACCTCAAATTAATAGTGGTTTGCTCTCGTACATCATACTTTTCCTGTTAACAATAGACTCATGCCGATCATCTATCTAATTCCGTTGTGAGAAAATTTTGAATTGAAATAACATTACACCTAGTTTGGAAGTTTCTATATAATCAATTGGGTCCTCCTGACCATAATCTTTTCTTATCTGGTCTCGATTTTTATCTATCTAACCCCGTTTTCTAGATTAAGGAAGGACAGACAACAAACGGGCGCCATTGGGAATTTATAGATCTATAATTTTTGAAAATTGCAACCCTAAAATGTTGTGAACCACTGGTTTAGGGCTTCGTGTTAAAATAATCTTTTGGTAGAGTGGAAAGGTTCTCTTATATGTTCTAGCTTAGAGCCACGTGTCTAAGTCTATTCCTGATTGAAACTTGAATAAAAATTAATTAATTAAATAATTTACGGTAGATTGAAATACTTCCTAATAAATATTTTTTTGGTTTTGGAACAAATAGTTGCCACAACCAAACAAATCGTGATTGGTTGCGATTGGCTGAAAGCTAGTACACTAACTTAAACACGTAATAATAATTCTGTCTTCATCCAATCGCGTAATAATTAAAATTTTCCGTTGTTACGTTTATAAATTGCTTCCAACTCTCAACCAATTGGTTATCAAGAATATAAATGTTTTAATTTTAAAACAGAAAAGTACGTTAGGAAAAATATTTATAGTGTAGATTACACTAAAACATTATTTATTTCTTCATTCACTGAATGTTGTTCTTTAATGTGTAATTGGGAATAATTAAAATCTGTAATAGTCAACAATTTGTGGAATTTATTGTAGAAATTAAAATGATCTACATTTAGTTCTTTGCCATTACAGGTAATTAGTTTAGAAGGATGGTCGGACATTATGTATTACGTCCAGGATGCCCATTCCTTTTGGGATTGGATATATTTTGTGCTACTAATTGTGGTAAGTATCGTGAAAAGTTAATCTGATAAAACAGTTTGTTTACTATTAATAAATGCTAATTTTCGTTCAATTGAATGATGATATATATATATACTAAATAAAACTGGAATTATTTGCTTATAATTTCTCATAAACTGAAAACAGTTTTAGGAATATACAATTAAATAATTTAATAAGAGTAATTTTTAAAATATTACTTGTATTCGTCGTGTAATAAAATATTTATGCTTTTAATTAATAAAGTAATTTTGTATATAATAAAATAATGCGTTATTTTTACTTTTATGGCTGTTATAGGCCTATATAACAGAGGAAAGTATGGCTATTAGTGAAAAATGATTCCTCTCCCAAAATTTTTTACATTTTTCGACTCGGGACTTCGAAACGTTGAGAAATGCAAGAAAAGTTAGGGGTTTCTCAGCATGTATGGAGGCACTTTTTTCCACTCAAATGAAAGCTTAATAACTCCCGTGTCTTTTGTCGAAAATTTCTGATATTTTGCGGAATGTTTTAGGTGTTAGAGGAAAATGTTTCCAGAAATAATCAGGAAAATCTGATAACTGGTTCAAGAGATACGGCCTTCGTTCACTTAATATTTCCTTAACCAATCAAAAGACTTAAAGATAATGGTAACAATTATTAGGTATGAAAACAAATAAATTATTCCAGGAAAGTCCAGCAACAACGTTTCCATCTTTTCAACTTATTTTTTATAATATATTAATTTATTTATATACTAAAAAACATCTTTTACAGAAGAATAATTTCATTAACACTCATTAATATTATTGTTTTAATTGCTTAATTAGTATTTTATGATATTAAATCTAAGTGGAATATCATTAAAACTGTAAAATTGATAGTGAAGTATTTAGTAATGTTCATTAAAATTGTATTTAAACTATTACACTAACTATCACGTAGTAACTACGTCATATACAGATGATAACTCAAACAGAGCGTGTGACATTGAATCTACATTCCATTATAACAATACAAATTCCTATATTCTACCTTAATCTGGCATAATTAAACTATTGACTCCTTAACTCCTGCATCGTTTAATTCTATTTGACGCTGTTCATTTTCATAAATGAATATCATACTTTTAACAGATCATTATAATATTCATCGATCTCTGTTGCTTTACAAGTAATTAAAATATTTGTGAAAGCATAAAACTTATAAGCTAAAAATTATTATGTTATAAAGGAAAATATAAATAAAATTAATTCTTTAACAACTATTTTGAGGGCCCTTCTGTGTCCATGCCAAGACACAGAAGAGCCCTCAAAATTACTCCAACTATACTTAACAAAAGGCCCTTTTAGGCTAACTTAGGCCCTCAAAATTACTAGACAATTATCTTTAGTGGTGTTCCTCTACCCGGTTCTATTATTAATGCAAACAAAGAAAATAACTGTTAAATATTTAACAGTTATTTTGTATTTTTAGAGATTAAAATTCAAATAATCGATAAAATNTTATACAGTTAATAATTAATAATTTGATGTTTTAATTAAAGATTTATTTACATTAACTTTACAGAGTATATTTATTTCATCGTATTATAATAATTTCTTGGGTGTTGGGAGTTTAGGATATTTTTTTCCTTTAATTTATATTATTATTAGGGAATAGAGTCTACTCTGAAGAGAGGAAGAGGAGTGTGGTCTTGGAAGGATACTGAACAGATAGGGTGAATCAGAAAGTATAAAACTATATATAGGAGATGGTAATATCTAGTGTTTACAAGGAAAAAAATCATTTTTACTTCATATTTGTAAAGGATTTGTGAAGGAAACAATAACAAAAATATAAAAATTAAATACAAAATTCGAATAAACTCGCAAAAATAAGTAAACAATAGTTGTAAATACAAAAATGAGTTTCACTACAATGATTAAAGTTGGGTAGTATATAGCAAACCACTGAAGGTAGCCAATAATAATACGTCAGCCACGGTGAAATTTTGATTTTAGAGCTTGTGTGATGTCAACAAACGTATTTGAGGCATTAAATTATTCTTTATATTTTTCCTTAGGGGGATTTTTGGGGAAATTCCCTTGTATCTTCATTCGTTTTTTAACGTGACCTCTGTCAGGTTACATACGATAACGCACCATTGTGGCTTGATGCAACAACTTTACTTAATTTTTCAATGAAGATATGCAAGTGTATTTAGCACTCCTCTAGCCGTGAGCTGGTTCTGTCTTCTTTGGAAGAATAAAAAAAAAGTTGAAATTTACTGTTAAAATTATTATTTTACATTAATAATATAAAGTGTTCATTGTATCGTAAAGTTAATGCAAACTAAATTTAATTCACAAAACACTTATAAAGTACATATACATTTTTTAAATAGCATCGTGAAATCGTGAAATGTGGAGCATAGAACAAAAATTGTTGACCTTTATTGTAGAACTGGCTCTACAGTGAAATGTATTGATTCGGTGTATTTCTATAAATGGCGACATGCAAAAAGCACGACTTTTCAAAAAAGTATAATCATGTTTATATAAATTTGTAAGAAGTAGTAAAAGTTAAATTAAATTCTCGTTAGATTTTACAGTTATAATAATTTTTATAGCTAACATTAATAGTTTTGTAATATAATATATTACACTGTATTATACTGTACAAGAATGATGATGAGACCAAGGTGCTATGCTACATACGCTTATTGGTTGGCCAACAGAAAGCTAAATTTTATGACAAAAATTGGTAGTTTGGTCCACGATGTTGGCTGATGTGCCTTGGACGATGATGATGATGATGTGGTGCCACTTTTGTTGTGTAGTAATAATAATAAACGGAAAAGAAAGTGTGTGCAAGCATTGTCCATTGATTTAGGTAATTTTTTCCATAGACATAGATATACAAGACTAAACTAAAAAGGGGTTATTTCAATTTTATCAAAGTATAATTCATTATTAATAACGATTAATTAATATTGTTTAAATTCAACTACATTCAAAACATGTATAAAGTACATGTACTTTACCACCTATATAGTGAATGACTTATAGCTGTTTTTTTTGAGTGTCCTGTGTATATGTGGGGTATATTATATATATATATATCTGTAGAAAATCATTTCAAACACAATAAAAGATAATATTTAATAAGTTATTACTTTAAAACTTTACGAAGTTTTATATATTTCATATAACTTAATTCCAAAAAATCGATATCTATCAATTCACTGGCTACAATGTGCAATAAAAGTAATTGCTTCTTGATAGCAAAGCAATCAGCATAACTAAATTCAATATCGTTTATCGAAACTTAAAAAAATATTCTTTACGAAAATAATATTAGAAGATAGAATATACAAAGAAGTTAATCGAACAAATTGCCTTTAATACAATCTTATTTCCAATATATCAATTTAAATATAAAAGATTTCAAATTTAACACATCAATAACTGTCGATAATTTATTTTTTTTTATAAATTTTATTGCATTAGATTTTTCTATTTTTTCCCCCATATTTTTCTGTATTTTTTAGTTTGTTTTGTAGAAGCACTCACTATAAAGAAAATCGATCCCAGTGGAAAGATTTCAGCAACTTGTGTTTTTATCTAACTCGAGATGTTTATATGTATAAAATTGTTTGCTTAAGCAATAAAAACATATCGTGAAAATAATATTTTATATCTTTTCTATTAAATAATAAAAGAAACTACATTTAGTTTAGTAATTTTCTACATTTTCTCTTTAATCAAATTTTCATTTGTAATTTTATTTGTTTTCAATTAAGTTTATATGAGTAAATCTACTTTATACACTTGCTTGTGAAAGATAAATATATAAAAATAACATTTAAAATGTCAATATTAATATACAGAGTGGTCTAAAAGTCAGTTAACCATTTAAAAGACTGACTAAATGTCTTATTCAAATGCTTTATTAATTATAACTTTAGAACTTTCAAATCCAGTTTACTTGTATGATTCTTATTCACAACTGCATCTGGAACAGTTAACTGACTTTCGAGTCAATCTGTATATTTCTGAATGCGATTTAATCCTAGACGTAGAACATTCGTAATTATCAAACTATATTATTTTATTCTATTTTTTTAAATTATGGATTATGTTTGAAAACAATTAAATAATTTAATTTAAATGTAAAATTTTTATATTTATTTTCTTATTATTTTTTTCTATTTATAAACGTGACTGTAACTGAATTACACACTTGTGTTTTCACATTAAGTAACAACTTAATACTTTATATTCAGATTAATGGATGTGGCGTGGTTCAGGATTTAGAATCGAATTCGGATCCAGCTAAAATCTAGTTTAAAATATTCAAAAATGAGGAATATATTCAAAATTCTTAGCTACAAAAATATTGATCCGAAAACAAATGTAAGATATTTGTCATTTTCCATAGAAGCAATGCGCTGTTATAAATCATGTCATACGAACATACATTTACTTTAATTTGGATCAGAATATTTCGGAATAAAAACAAATTGTTTGTTGTGTTAAAAAGCTTGATTTAGTTTAATTAATCTTATTGAGTAATTATGTAGTTTCTGAATCTTAAGATAATTCACATTTCATGATAGCTTTAGTTCAATAAGTAATTGGTTTATTTATAAAAAATATTACTTATAATTCTTTAGAATAATAAGTAATATTTATACAATAAAATTCGGTATTATAATATGAAATGAAATTGTGGTGCTTTATTATTACTGTTTACTTAGTTAATATTGGTGTTATACGGAACAAAATTGATGCATTATTGCGAAAAATTAGCTACTTTTTCATCATATTTGTATACTATTTGTATGTATCTACATTTAAAATATTCATAATTAATGTATTTAATATTTCTACTTTTTTAATTTAAGACCATGATTAAAGTCTAATATTTCTAAAATTTTAAGTAGTAAAGAAAAATAAGACTAAGGCTAAATGCTTTATTTAATTATCTTGTATATATATTCAATAATATGTATCAATCAATCAATATCTTTATTAGTAATAAGGCCATTAGCCAGTTACAAGGGATGTTTTTTGTAACAATCGATTCATCTTATCACCAATAATTTCTCCCTCAACATCAACCGATTTAATCCAAATCTCCATCATCTTATACCTAGATACACATTCTTAATTAGTACAACTTGTACCAAAAAATACATTTATAAAATTCACTTGCACTTAAATTATTATTTAATTATTTCAATTCTATAACAACATAAACTTCTGTGCATAGTTATATAATCTATAAATTATATCTATTGATGCTCTATTAAATACCTCGTACATTGCCTTTTCATTATTACATTTAAGTAAACATTGTAACTCTAGCTTCTGTTCTGGTTTCTTAACATCTTTACAATCACAAAACAGGTGAAATTTTGAATTTATTTCTTGACATCTTGGGCACATAGTCTCAGTGAAATCGATAATTTTATTATTAATTAATATCAATTCTTTATTTAGTCTAAGTTGCACAAAAAATCTTTTAACGTTAAACGCCAGATTTGTTAACATATAATTGTTATTGAATGGATAATCCAGAATTATCTTATACCAATCTGGTTTCTTTCTATTATGTAAATCTTCAATATCCTGAGATAAAGCAATTTCTAAAACATTTTGTATTAATTGGTGATAATGCTGATCACTTAACTCTGGTCGATCCAGGAATATATTTACAGAATAACCAAACTGATTCAGTATTTTTGATAATTGGGTCACCCAATTTCTATCATTCTTTTTCACCAATGACTTCTGATATAATTGATATAGCAATGTCGTTGATAAATTCCCAGTGTTTCTTAATTTAAATATAAATTTCATATATCTCTTCATTAATAATGTGCACAATTTATATCTACTCAGTTCTAATCCGATTGCACTACCAGGTATATTATATTCCAAAAAGAAAATTTTGCGTATAAACTTGTTTTGAATCAATCATATGTAAAGAGCTAGACATTCTTCGTATTTTATAAGCGTATTTAAGAGTTTATCCTGCTATAAATGAATGGGAGAATTACGCGAAATCATGCAAAAGTAAACACGTATGGGTAGTAATTTCCATATTTTCTCTTCTGTTCACAGATGCCAAGGGGTTGTAAATGTAAAACATTGAAAACCATATCTTGGAACCATGCAGAATGCACTGGAGTGGGCACTCCCAGAGATTAGCGTGTGATAGTTTGTCAAGGGAATGATACTTAGTGCGCATAATTATCCATACACTGCGCATGATTAGCCAAAATGGCGGAGAATTATGCGCAATTACAAGTACCACTAATTTTGTATTAGCTCTGAACTCCATTGTATTAAATCAAATTATATCCATTTCACTGCAAAATTGATTTTAAATGGGTGAATACAATACTACTACTTTTTCTTGTATACGTCATACAGGGCCGATGAGTAAAGCTGAAGCTGCAGTGATGGAGCCCTGATCTGTGCAGGGGCCCGGGCATGAATAATCAAGTTTTACTTACATAAAATAATTTTCTAGTAATTATATTTTCAAGCGATTAAACACAGAAGAAAGAAATGTAATAAATCGAAAACATCACGTCAGAAGGGGCGAAGGAGGCCCTAATTCCAGATCTGATCACTCTTCATAATCCTGATAGCATGGCACCTATGGAAGAGACGTTTAAGCGCACACTTAACCACTGATGATTAGTGTGCCCTCACAGTGGCGCGTTATCCTACGGGCAAAAAGGGCAGTTCGGGCCCTCTGTTGGTGGGGGACGCAAACCAGTCTTTTATAAGAAAATATTCTTCAAAAAATTTCTTGTAAGAAAAATGTCTAAAGTCAATACAATATATGGGGCTCCTAATTCAAATTTAACTGAGCCCCATAAAGCTATATTCCGCCACTGCGTAATCAATGCAATTATTGATCTTACCACTGTTAATACTTACCACTGTCAGTATAATGTGGGCGTTAGGAGAATAAACGAGTCTGTATGTGTGCATTTTTTTTTATTTTCAAAGAATATGATGTCTATTGTGATGGATTATTATTATGTAAGACACAAACTAATCCAAAAATTTATTATAAAAATAATATATAGTTACATTAGCATAAGAAACTATAATTTTATTATTTTATATTCAAATTTTATAATTAAAAAAAAAGAGTTTTAACAATAAAAAGCATATAAATTTATATATACTTTTACAATTTTATCACAGGAAAATTTACAAATTAATAAAGATTTTATAAGGATTATACGAAGAAAAAAAATCTTATTTAAAATGACGTTAAACTTTAATATAATTATTAAAGAAGAAAATTTTGACGCAATTTTATTCGCTATAAACACGTACAGGTACCTGTGCTGAAATGTCAAGAGGTCCAAATAAATAGATTTAAACAACTATTACATAAAGAAAAGTTTTTGTTATAAAATATTTAAATAAATTTATAAATAATAATTAAATTGTTTATTATTTTATAAAACAAAAAATTAAAAAAAGTATTAATTATCCTGGATAAATTATCTTTTTTTTTTTCATAGACTACAGCTTAGTAATTGATATTGAGGGATAATTATACAAGATATTTTACTATTGAAAGAATTAAAATAAACATAAATTCTTTCAATAATATTATAAAATTATAAGATATAAATTTAATTATGAAAACATTAGTAATAAATTATCTTTTAATATACATTTTTAAAATAAAGTTTTGATTATAATTGCTGTGGCGTGTTAAGGGGATGATTTAAGTTTTGGATTCAGTCTTCTAGGAATAAAATTTAATCTAAAAAATTATAAATAAATAATATGTATTTATTTATTGTTTTCTTTAATTTTTCTTCATTCTGTTTCTATTTTTTACATCATCCTTCCAGATCACTCCACGAGCAAAATCTTAGTTATGTCATTGACCAATTAATAAAAATTTTAATGAAAAATTTTAGATTTTAAATAATAAAAAAATGAAAAGGTTTATTTATAATAATTTTAAAATGTATTTATTTTAATTTAACATCGTCACAAAATCGATTACGTTAAGTTCAGTTTTTTTTAATTAATCTAAATTTTCTCCATTTTTTTTAATAATTAAAGTTTGCTTCAAAATAGAATAAATCAAATCTTACAATTAAAAGAATTAAAATTATCTAACTGAAAAACTTACTGAAAAATTAAAAAAATGAAAACTTTTATAGATTATTACTTATTTATTTTATTTT